CTAAATGAAGTTGAAATTTTTTTTATAATTCAAACAAATTTTTTAAAGCTTTTCTCATCCTAACCTCAGTTGGACCTTCCTAACTAAGTTACAAAGTAATCCAAACATGCTCTTAACAGTGTTAAGTTACATGACTAAAAATGTACTTTTTAAAATTATATGATCAAATTGAAACTATATAAAATTTAAATGACTAAAGTAAACTTCAACCTTTCAATTATTATTATCAAAATATTTATATAGGTCATTTAATGAGGATATAATTTAAAAATACAGTATAATTTTTCTAAAAGATTAAGATTTTAAACTTTTATCTAATTTTTTTAAGAACCGAATAATTACCAGTTTTTTATATTGTGATCTAGAAGAAGAATGTACCCCACAAGAAGAGAAGTGTTCAAACATATAGTATTCTATATTGTGCATGCAAACACACACAGAGGTTAACGATCATGCTTGTCTTGCTTTTCCTTCTTTTAAGGACTGTTACGTTGTTTGGATACGATTACATGGGCTAGATGTTTAATGATTGTTCTACGAGCGTTTTATAGATACTTTCACTTTTTGCAGGTAACTGTATGTATTATATAGTATTGTACGCTTTTGTTTTACTGATGAAAATATTAACTATTAATTATTATTTTTTTAATCAAGTCATTTCTAAATCACATTTTTTAGGTTTTTTTTTTGGACTACAATGTCAATATTCATGTGTGAAAAGAATACACACACACACACGAGGACAAATCAGCATTAATCAAGAGATTACTATAGGAGTGTTGAAAAGTCTAACGGTGGTGTCAGATTGATAAGCCAACCAATGAATGCACGTATATGTATTTCATTATTAAGGGGTTAATATCCTAAATTTGAAAGCATTTTTCGCCGTAGAATAAATCAAGTGACAATGGATGCGTGTGACTTTAATTCATAAGTGATTATATGAATTAATGTGGCAATGAATTTTATAGGTTTTCTCATTCAACTCTGCTTTCTTTCTTTTTGACAAATTATTGGGATACGTTCAGCATATATAATACTCTCTTTGGACAAAATTTTTTAGAAAACTTGTCTGGTCTGTAATAAAGGGCTTTAGTTAGTTTTTATAACTATTTTTCAAATCATATCTCAATTTCATTTATTATTGCTATTTTTGAAAATAAATAATGCGTTGGAATCTTTATTAAAGCATATGCAAAATATATATTTAACGAGGGTATATAATTGAAAAGATATATAATATAATTTTTTTTTAAGAAAGCAATGTTTTATCTAACTTTGTTGGTAACTATAAACTAGTTAAAATATCTTGGAAAAGGGAATGAACATATTCATGCCAATCACGTTAGAATGAAAACCAATTAATATATTTTTTTTCAATGAATAAGTATAATATAGATAGTGATTGTGTTTGCATGTGAAAGAGAAACAATTTAAAAGCGACAGACAGCAAATAATTACATAACTCAACTGATAAGGAATTATGTTAATTTAATTAATGGTATTGAGTGTACATTTTAAATATACAGCTGTATTAAATATTTATTGAAAGAATTTTGTTACCAATATAATTTTATTTGACTTGATCTATAAATAATGAATAATTTTATTTAAAGAAAGAAAGAAAGTGACAGACAAAAAAAACAACGTATTCTCACAAGAAAATAGACCACAGAAAATGAAAGCACAAAAATTACCCTTAAAAAGGTGGGCCTACAAGCCCACTCTTGGACGAAAAAAAAAAAACAGAGAAAGAGAGAGGCAGAAGACAACAATGTGACCAATTTCATGTATTAACCCTACTTGAAGTTTGAAAACCATCCTCTGCCATTTATTAATGCCTACTTTTCAGAATTAATATCCACAAACTCTGAACGAAACAAATATGGCCCTTACAAATTAAAAATCTCAACACAAAATGTTAATAGCTATAAAAAAAAAAATCACTATCAACTTCCACCCCAAAGAATTTAATTACACTAAATCAATAGCCACCAAGTTCCAAATCATTGTACAATTATAAAAATACCCTTACATTTTTTTTTTACAAAATGTATATAATTCATTTACTATTATCGCTGGAGCTCCAATGAATGGAACCCAAAACCATATGGATCCCAAACAATTTAATAACCATTAGGTTGCTTATGCATATCAATATAATAGTACAAAATGTTATACTCTTTCCGTTCAAAAATACAATATATTTTTAATTAAATTTTACCCTTCAATAAAATGGTTACTTATTTTTTAATTAATCCTATATTTTTATATTTACTCCTATTCAACACCCTACAATAAATATAAATCACTATCAATATGGGCATTTTTGGAGAAAAGGCAATGATTACATTTTAAAAGATTAAAAATTTCTTACATTTTTAAACATTCAACTCCTTAAAAAATGTCTTATATTTTTAAATGGAGGGAGTATATATTTAATAACTTGTGTCGGCATGAGGAGAGGAAAATAGTAATTTAGCAAAAGAAAATTACAACTCAGGTGTAAGAAAATAACAACTTCAATTAAGCAAAAAAAATGGATATGTAAAAATAATAATTTAATAAAGAAAAATCACAACTTGAATTTGTAAAAATAATAACTTAGAGAAGACAATAACAACTTGAATGTTAGAAAATAATAATTTAAATTTAAAGAAATAATAACTTGGAATAGGAGAATGACAGCTTGACAAAGGAAGGAGATATTATTAAAATAAAAATAATATTTTTTGATTATTTATAGGTGATGCCTAGAGCAACAGTATGATAATTACCCAATAGTTAGTCAAAGAGGTTGGTCAAAATAGTATTTTGTTTTTATCTGGACGGTATATATATCTGAAAAAATTTTAACATAATATTTTTATTAAATACAGGAAAAAAATTTGAAAAATTTCAAAAATATAATATATTTTTAGGTTAAATTTTTAAAAATATAAAATATTTTTAATTTTTAATTTTTTAATTAATAAGTTTTTTAAAAAAATTTTAATAAATAAATCACTCAATTACATTTACCTTTAACTAAGACACTCTATCAAATGAAAAAATTAAAAAAATAATATTTTAAATTTAATTAATTAACTTATTGAAAAATATGATTCAATTAAAAATATTTTATATTTTTTAAATTTTTTAAGGAAGGCTGTAAAAGCTGCCAAGTTATAAATTTTAGGAAGAATTTCATTAAAAGTCTTTAAGTGTGACATTATTTTTATTAATTCCTGAAAAATTTTAAAATTTCATTACAAGACTCGAATGACTAAAATGAAATAAATTTTCTTGATTAAAAAAACCTTCAATTATGATAAAATTAGTAAAATAATAAATTGAGTTATAGTTTTAATAAGTAACATTATTAAAATAATAAATTAAATTATAATTTTTAAAAATAATATTAATAAAATAACAAGTTAAGTTATGATTTTTACAATTAACACTGCTATAATAACAAGTTAAATTATAATTTTTAAAAGTAATATTATTAAACTAAAAAGTCTTGTTGTAATTTTGACAAGTATTATTATAATAATAATAATAAGAAATGTTTATTTTAATAACATTACTTATAAAGCTTGTAACTTGACTTGTAGTTTCAGTAATTTTACTTATAAAAATCATAATTTGACTTATTATTTTAATAATATTAATTATAATTAAAAGGTATTTTAATCATTTAATTAAGAGAATTTATTTCAATTCATCTCTCTGGGCTTTCAGTGCAATTTTAAAATTTTTTAAGTTTTAATTGAAATAATGTCACATTCAAAGGCCTTTAATGAAATTTCTCTTAAATTTTGTATTCTTAACGATATGTTGCTATATAACCCATCTAGCCCATAATAATTTGATAAATTATTAAATGGATCCAGCACATCATTCATGATTTATCTAATAGAAACAAAACACTCAGATGCTGTTAAATATAAATTGATTATAGTATTAATGATAATAGAGATAGAAACGATAAGGAATTAAATAGACATTATTTTATAAAAATAAAAGGAAAAATCACATATAAATCCTATGAAGCAGGCTTATTTATAAATACTGTAAAATATAAAAACCATAACTAAGTCTCTTGAAGCTTGAATGCAATTTAAAATTAGAATAAAAAGATAATAATATCCCTGTTAAACATATATACATTACATCAGTTAAATAGTTTACAACTATAACTTTAATTTTTTACAAATATAACTTCATATGTTCAATAGTTAATTAAACTTATCAGTTTAACTATTAAACATGTGAAGTTACAGTTATAAAAAATTAAAATTAAAATTGTAAATTGTCGATGAAGTAGCTGCAAATAATTAATATTAAATTTTGTTAGTAACACATGATTGTTTAACTATTGAGTATGTGAAATTATAATTGTAAAAATTTAAAATTATAATTGTAAAGTGTTAATAAAGTAATTATAAATTAACTATTTGACTAATGTGATATATGTTTAATATAAATATTATTTTCTTGGCAATTTAATTTTAAATTATACTTAATTGTGATTTTTGAATTTTACTGAACTTATTTGTAAATAAATCTTTTTTATAGAACTTATATATAATTTTTTAAAATAAGATCATTGAAAATAATTATACATTATATTTTATTTGATTAAATTTATATAATTTTATTAAATAAATCATAAATAACATGGTGTACTAAATCTTTTAAGAATTTCTCCAACAATTTTATACAAAAATATAAATTTTGTTGAAAGCTACAACAAACTCATTTTGTACGAGCATATCTGAATGGCGAAAAGTCTGAACTCGGCTGATAGAGATAGCGTTGCATTTGAGCGAGAGTGACAGCATCAAATCAAATGAGTACACGTGTTCTCTCACATGTGACTTACCACTCCTATCCTATTGTCGTTCTTCCTCCTTTGAGTCTTCCAGCCACTGGCAATACAATCCAAAGTCCAAACCCACAGCGCGAAAGGGTTTTCACACGACAATCAAATCTTAGCTTCCTTAATTATATATATATATATACATACATGTGTGTGCGTGTGAATAAGTTTTAGCTGAAATTATGGTCCACTCACATCGGACGCTATCTTCCTCCAGCTCATTTCTTTGCCTCGGTCAGATTCCCCTGATCCCTCGGATTTTTATCTCTCTCTCTCTTCCGGTCATTCTCGCTTGCAAGAAACTAATAATCAAAGCCACATGGATTTGAAGCCCTCAAAGCTATACAGGCGCCACTACGCCCCACTTTCTCATGGTAATGTTATTATTATTATTATTATTATTATTATAAGCCAAAAAAGCAAAACACGCAAGAATTTCTACTTTTGAATATTCTGTTCCCATCGATTGCATTAGTCTTCCTGGAAACCGCGCAAAATTTTTCCACATTGTTCCTTTTTTCTTCTCTTTGTTTGGTTCTGTTCCGCGGATTTCAGTGCTTGGATGGCTTGTAGTATTCAGGGCTAGTGTTTCTTTTCGAAGTCGGAGGAAACGGCTAAAAGAATTGGCGTCGAGAATGAGGTTTCCTGGAGTTGACGATGAATTGCAGAGGATTTTAGATGCTAACATGGATGAAGTTCCCGCCAGGAGGCGCGCTCGTGAAGCCTTCAAGCATTTTCAGCTTGGGATTGACCATATGCTGTTTAAGGTATGGTGTTCGATGAATTTATTTATAGTAACTTGTTTTGAATTCAGGGATACAGTATCTCTCAGAAAAATGATTGGTATATTTTGTTTTTGTATGTGAATCATATAATCAGTTTTGTGTGTTTGTATGTGTTTTGGGATTTAAAATTTGTTCTCTCTTAATTTTCCTTTCTTGGGGTTGCTATGGATTCTTTCTATTTCCAGGTAGGCCGAATACAACCGACAATAAATCTCTTTTTTTGGGGTTCTTTTCAACCTAGCTTTTCTTTAGTTCTGAGGACATTAATGATATCATATATGGTGGTTGAAATCTTTAAATTTTTTTTCCTGGTCATTATGGTTTGGGGTATAGAGGAAAGAGTATATGCTCCAACGTTGGTTGATGCATTTAAGACTTTAATTTTAGCATCCGTCTTGGAGGAGTCAAATATCGGTGGTGTGACATACAAAATAATCTTATCAATCCAGTTAACCAAAATCCAATCTTCTATAATCACACAGTCATTCATACTTGACGAAATAACAAGTGTAACTGTGTATGAGATTCTCTTCTCCTTTTTATACCAATTCTCTGATTTTTTGGGCCTCTCTCTCGATGCACTGGTGTAAAAAAAAAAAAAATCTCTTTTAATGTGCTATAATCACTTTTATGATCGTAGATAATCCTGATTATAGACTAAACCTTTGGGTAGTTGAAATCTTGGTTTTGGTTCTACATAAACTGCTTTAAGATTTTAAGTCTCCTATTGAAATCTTTAGTCTTGTACCTTGGAGACACTTGGTCTCCCTCTCCCTGTAAAATGAGCACAGTAACGTTAAATTTGCAATCTGATTTCTGAGATTTTTTTTTATTTCTCCTCTCCATGAACCTTCAAATCCATCAATTACAGGTATTAACAATTTAACAATTTATCTCATATTCCTTAAGCATTAGAGAAGCTTGATGTTGTTAAAATGTTAGTGCTTATTCCTTTGTGCTTGATTGTGTTATGCAGACTCCTTGCGATGGACTGAAAATGAAGGAGGTAAGAAGTCTATAAACTGAAGCACTTGCAATGTTATTACTCAGGAGTCTACTTGATATGCAACTTGTAACTTCAATGCCTCCTTGGCATTATCCACTCTCGCATCCCTATGTCGGCTTCATTTTCAATATTGTCATGCATTTCTTCGTTTGTCATATGTAATCTATTCAAATTTGGCCGAGTTGAATTCTGAATTTCAGATGAAAATTTTTGTTTGTCAAAATATAAATTGCAGAAGAGAGAATAAATACTTTCCCTTACATCATCCCTCTGTCTCAATTCTGCCATGATTACAGTCATATGAGGTGAACTCAAGGGGTATTGAAATATTTACCAAAAGCTGGCTTCCTGAAACTTCTAAGCCCAAAGCAGCAGTGTTTTACTGTCATGGCTATGCAGACACTTGCACTTTCTTCTTTGAAGGCACGTGGCTGGTATTAAGAACTCAGTTACAAGTAATTTGATATAGTTTCATTGTTGATTACACCAACTTTGTTTTATCATGGATATATCTTCAGGAATAGCTAGAAAGCTGGTATCTTCTGGATATGGAGTTTTTGCCATGGATTATCCAGGATTTGGTCTTTCAGAAGGCCTCCATTGCTATATTCCAAGTTTTGATACTCTCGTCGATGATGTGATTGAGCATTATTCCAAAGTTAAAGGTACTTGAACCGCCATGAAACCTGTCTTAGTGCCTATCAGCATGAATTTTGTACGAGAAAAGTTTTTGAATTGCATGAATTTGATCAAGAGGGGATAACCGAACCTGTGGCAGTGGAGGCATCACTAAGGCTAAATAAATTTCAATAAGAGCTAGATAAACCTTAAAAAAAAAAAAAAAAAGAGGACCCCTTCTCTTTCTCAGCATGGGCAAGGAGATTGTGTCATGTTGTACTGTGCACATTGGACAAAGAGTTAAGGGACCTTGTGCTAATGAATATCTTTCTTGGATTGTGTAACTCTTTCTTCACCGTTTTCCTTGTGAAAGTGGTCTATGTGAAGCAATAATGAGAAGTAAATGTTGGTATTACTGGAAATATAATATTAAGACTTGAGAACAAACAAGGACATGTGTTGATTGCTGGAAACCCTTTGTTAAGTAAATACTAAAAAGTGACATTATGTATTCAAAGAAAGGCCTGACTCAAATTTGTTGTAATATGCTTCCTAGGCTTGCGATTAGAACTGTTGCTTTATCAAGGAAAGCATTCTTGCATGTAAACAACACAATTTCATTCATTACATTGCAATTTGCAGTCAGCCAATTAGAACTGTGGATTTACCAAGGAAGGCGTGTTTTTCATGTAAACAACAAAATTTCTTAAAATTGTATATTGCAAACAGCAATGTTGAGGCCTGAGGGACATAAGATACTGTTGATTTTAATATCCGTGCTAACATTTTTACTGGTTTAATGACAGAAAACCCAGAGATCCGATCTCTTCCATGCTTCCTCTTTGGACAGTCTATGGGTGGAGCTGTTGTCTTGAAGATGCACCTAAAACAACCCAAGGCATGGGATGGTGCCATTCTTGTTGCGCCTATGTGTAAAGTATATATCCTAAACCTGAACCAGCCTAAGAGTATGTTTGAATTGGCCTAAGAGTATGTTTGAATTGAAGAGAATAAAAGAGAAGGGAAGTGAACTTTTAATTCGTATATCTAATGGAGACTTGGTAGTATGGGAAATTAAGTCCCATATTGAGTAGCATGGGATGCTCAATGGGGTATCTAAGTGGGTTTGTTCTCCCAACTTAACAGCCTTTTGGAGTAGGGTTCCCTATCTCACTAAGATACCTATCAATTGGTATTAGAGTTTAGTTGTTGATAGTTTCGAAGAGGGATACATATGGAAGGCTTTCCATTGGAGGGCAAATTGATGGGGACTTGGTAGTATGGGATATCAAGTCTCACATTGAGTGATATGGGATGCTTAAGAGGATATTTAAGTGGGTTGGTTCTCTCATTTTAATAGCTAGCTTTTGGGGTAGAATCCCCAATCCCACTTAGGCACTTATCAACATCTAATTTGATTTAGATTTAACGCTAAACAGTTTTGTCTTCACCTCTCTTCTATTATCCTCAATTCAAACATATGCTAAGAGTCTTATCCTAAATTCAAATATAACCCAAGAGTTGTGGCATATGTTTCTTTGATCTCCTTTTGAATCTCAAGCTCTATGTAGATTGCAGATGACATGACTCCGCCATGGTTACTCACTCAGATCTTGATTGGTGTGGCCAACGTGCTTCCAAAGCAGAAGTTGGTTCCACAGAAAGACTTAGCTGAGGCTGCATTCAGAGAATTAAAGAAGAGGGAACTGGTTTGTCTTTTTATTTTTTCATTTTTAAACATACCTGAGTTGCATTTCTGTCCTACAATTTCTGCATTACATTGACTTGAAGGTGTCATGGCTTTTTCCTCTTCCAGCTCTTTTCTTTCAGATCAAGGTCTTTCTTTTCCTAGAAATCTGTGCTTGACATTTTTCTTTTTGTCTCTTTGCAGACAGCCTATAATGTTATTGCTTACAAGGATAATCCTCGCTTAATGACTGCTTTAGAAATGCTTAGAACAACCCAAGAAATAGAACGACGATTGAAAGAAGTACGCTGATTTCTGATCTAGATTATATCTCTTTTTCTTTAAAAAAATAAACGATAAACTACACCTTAATTAGCAGTGAACAATCTGCTCCCTAAATTAGGAGATACTTCAAATACAATTTGCATTAAAGATCCATTTTTTCTTGTCTCAGTACTGTTTCTGGACAATTTATCTTTCAACCGCTTCTGCAATTGTTTATCTGTTGAACTGCGGATGTTGTTAGAAGATTCCCATGGGCAGAATCAAAATGGTCAATAGTCATTCCACGACAGCAACGGTGTAGTAAATTAACTAAATTAACAAGCTTTTTAGTTGGGAACCATTGTTTTTTCGGGGGTTGATCTTATTTCCCTAGAACCCTTAATTGGAACATAAATAATATCTCCTCCAAGAGGATTCAGTCCTACAAGAATAGAGCAATAAAATTCAATAGCCTAACATGTATTGGTTGTGATTGGCAGGTTTCACTACCATTGTTAATCCTTCATGGGGAGGCTGATACTGTAACAGATCCTTCTGTAAGCAAACTGTTGCACAGGAAAGCAAGCAGTTCTGAGAAGAAGCTTAAACTTTACGATCATGCTTACCATTCCCTTCTTGAGGGTGAGCCTGATGAAGTAATTCTTGAAGTTTTCAAAGATATCATCGCTTGGCTTGATGATTACAGCTCAAAGCACAACTCATCTTCCTCTTGATGAAGACTTTTGATCTGTATATCGTCGGTGAAGATTATTCAGATTGCTTTGATGGCAATTCAAAGTGAAAGCTCTTATCGTTCCTTCAATAAAAAGAGATGAGGCATCAAATGTGGAAGTTACATTTATTTATGTAATTTGTTTAAGTCATTCATTAGATCATGTTTATAGATTAGTTCATGTTTGCATCTTTCAAGAATAGAAGATGGAATTTTAGGCAAGAAAATCAGGGCTTGTGTGGTTCCTGTTCTCATTAATATTATTTTTTAAAAAAACTGTTTTGTAATGCAATTTTTAAAAGAAAATAAAATAAAAATTCGTTTTGCTATGTTAACTTTAAAAAAAATTTTAGGATTAAAAAATAGACAGATAGTAATGGCTATAGACGGTTAATTATTATAATTTATGATAAAAATTAGTTAAGATAACTGTGATTTTTAATAATCAAATATAATATATTTTGAAAATAAGAAAAATGAAATTAAAACAACTTAAAATTGTTTTTATCTTTTTTGTTTTTAAAAATAAAAAATAAAAATAGTTTTAAAAATAATTAAATTGAAAATACTTCTCCAAACAAATTTTTAAATTTTTTATTTCCAAAAAATTAAAATAATTTTTAAAAATAGTAAACAAACAGGCCTTTAGTCAAGTCTTGGATAAATGATATGATAATGAATAAAATGATATTATTTTTAATGGGGATTATTAAATTGATTTTTATAAAATTAGGAGATCAAACATGTTTTTTTAGCATTATGTTAATGCAAATTAAAGAATGGAAGTCTTTGAGTGAGAAAAAAGCTATGAAAAACAAAATTTGTATATTGTGTTCAATATTATCGGAAAGCATTTGCTAGGTTTTACAATGAACAAGACATGCTACATCAAATAGTAACATTGAAGTGACGTGTTAAGTGTTGTTGAAGTTCAAATCCTCCTAATGTAACCTGAAGCAAAAAAAATTGAAGAAAAAAAAATTAAAAATAGAATCTTCTCATAAAACAAACAAGTCACCTGGGACTTTAAAATAATTATTAATTATTCCAATTCATGTTTTTTTTTGTCATTTTTCTATTTGAGTGAGATTTATTTATCATTCTCATTATTCAAATGTTATAATATATGTGTGTGTAAGTATGTATATATATTCCTACCATCTTCTAATATTACACTACCTACAGTCATTCCTATTAATCTTGTTTTTGAATCCCTAACATACTTGTTTTTCCCATCGTAGTCAAGCAAAACCATAGCTCAAGCATTTTCTTCATCTTTGTGCAACTAATATATATATATATATATATATAATAGTGTATCAAAAAGTGATAATATAATATAATATTCATCTAGTTTACTTAGAAAAAATGCTGACAATGAGATCCACTAAAAAGAAAGGAAAAAAAAAGTTATATAGACTAAAAAATTTCAACGATAAAATAGAATTAGTATTGTAATATTGTATATGCACGGTTCTTATATCAAACTATTATATATTTATGCCAACTCATTTCATCTCAATCATCCAAACAGGATTTGGAAAAAAAAAAAAAGAACTTACAATGATTAAAGATGTCTCAAGAATTCACTTTTTAAAAAAAAAAATTCTCCAAAACAATAATGTAAAATTTCTAATCATTTTATCCCATTTGATTCCTTTCATTTAATCCTATTTCATTCCTTTCATTTTGCTAGCTAGCAGAAGACTTTTTATTTGTTATATTAATTAGTAACGCACCCATACATCTTATACTATAGTTTTTATAAATAAATGTTAATTTTTTTTTAGCAAACACCTCCTCCATATCATCTTATACATAGTAAGGCTATGTAATTAACTAATTATCATCTTTAATATTAAAATGCAAATTAGAATTAAGCATATGGTTGGTAAAAATTAAATGCAAACGGTGTGAATGGATACAATGAGAAACAGGTTAATAAAAATTTATAATTAATTATATTAAATTATTGAAAACTTTTCTATCAACAACATTAGAGGTTCTATCTGCGAACCAAGCACCATCATCAATAACTAATATTTTTAAACCTTCCCTACTTCAAACACAAGAAACAACAATGCATAAGTGGTTGTAAATACAAATAGGATATGGCAAGTACAAATCAACATGGCATATGCTCTTATTAATGATTATTGCAAAGGCCAGCATAATAGAAATCTGCCTCCTCACAGTAAATGGTAACATGAAATCAAATGGACACATAGCAAGACGCGTTATATAAACTTTTATACTTGTAGTTGACCCAAACATTTTTAAGCCTTAATAACATGTTTTCTAGTTTGTATAACTATGAGACATGTACCGTTGCTTAATCTCATAAATTTATCACTATTCCACATTAAAAATAATTGGGGCACCAACTTTCAACCTTATTTCATAATTTGGTAGGCCTATCATTGTAATTGAATTTAAAAAATCTATAAAGTGCAAATCATTACGTAAATTCATGTCGTCATCATTATTCACAACACTTTCATAACTTGAGCCTACAACTTCTTCTGCAAGGAGTGGGGACAATATGTTAACCTTATTAAAAAATTATTTTAATATCCTTAAAATAAAATATATTACTTTTCCCTTTATTTTAACTTAATTATAAATATTTTTTATGTCTAAAATATATATAAATTTCTCTTAAAATTAATAGTTAAGAGTTACAAAATACAAACATGCCTTCTATTTTTAAATTTTTATTTTCACCCATCCAATCATCAATGTATAAAGTAGATATTTGTCTTTAAAATACATAAAGTAGATATTTTTAAAAATATAAGATATTTTTAACCGAATCTCATTCTAATGAAGTAGATATTTGTCTTCAAAATAGCACTACTTTTTCACATTTACTATTTAATTGAGTGTTTCACTCTAAAATAGATATAAAATGAGACTAAAACTTAAGTTTTAAAAATAAAGAAGAAGTCTTTATAACTTTAACAAAACAAAATGGATGTCAATGTATTTTACTCTATAATTTATTAACTTTTGAAAATTAATAAACTAAAATCCATGTGAAAATTAATAAATTAAAATCCTCTTCTGTATCTCCACAGTCAACAAATATGAGACAAAAGTTTTAATGGAATGATACTTATAAGGAACGATTTCTATTTTGTAATGTACTACTCTTTTATACATACATACATACATACATATATATAACAATAGCATTGTTTTTTTTTTATAAATTTCTCACCTTTTGCAATTTGAAATATATTCTCACTTTTGTATACCTAACACCTATTATTTTACTAAGAATCTTATATTCACCATTAATTTTTACTATGAATCCTACATAATCTTTCAAAATATAAAAATCTTATTAGTTTGTACAACTTGTTTAAATTTGTAGAATTTATAAGTGTAAACCTCACTCACATTTTGTAATGGTAGGTTCCATGCACCACTTTTTTAAGTCATACTACTTTAATTTTTTAAAAATAAAGTTTACTAAAATCTTACATTCTCTCTATTACTTGTAGAGTCTCAAATATCTAAATATATAAAAAAATTATAATTAAACTTGAGACACCTTTAGCTTTTAGGTTTTTTTAAGTTGGTTGAACTGTCTCAATTATTAAAAATTATTTTATTTTATTTTTCTCCTTATTGAGTCCATAAATTGCGTCTTTGAATATTTTTTTATATATTTAATTTTTAAAAAGTCACAAAATCAATACATTTAAATAATAAAAATTTAAATAAAAAATTTTATTTTTTAAATTTAAATAATTTTTAGACAACATTTATATTTAAATAGAGGTATTTTAGTCCAACACACATGACTTAATTTCTTCTTGTTCCTTAAGGTATCTCCACAATTAGCAAGTATAAGATTAAAATTTTAATAGGATGATTCCTATAAGGAACAACTTTTATTTTGCAATATGCTACTTATATATATATATATATATAGCATTTTTTTTTAAAATTTCTCACTTCCTATAATTTGAAATATAATAGAACATGTTATTTTTCAAAATGTGTTACCTCATGTATCACTTTAAGGAAAACAAAACATATAATATAATGAATCGTACTACGATTTATGTCATAATATTATTTATAAATCATAATTATAATAGTTGTAACTCAAGCAAATAATATAATTTATATTATAATACCATTCATCAATCATGTGTACAATCATTAAAAGTAACAAAATGATTATTGATAAAAGATTATGTGTGCAGTGGAAGATAAATTCATTAATATCATATAATTAACTTAAATTCATTAACATCATATAATTAACTTATAGCTCATAATTTGGTTTCCTTAGACTTGAGACACATAACTACATTAATATTTTTATTGGTGTTCAAAGCATAATTAATTTTTACATATAAATAATAAGATAATATATTTTTATACCTTACACAAGGGGTTGCCACAAGTTTTGGGAGTATGGCCAAAACTTTTGCATCCATAAAATATGGATCAAATTTTTTAAAATTTAAGAGTATGACTTGTTAACATTAATATATAATATGTTTATCGTTAATATATAATAAGTTCATTTAAAATTTAAAATTTACAAGAAATTTATCATTTATATATAATGGTATGTCATTGACAAATATAATAAATTGCTCATAATGCAAAATATAATAAATATTAGGTTGTTTGTTTAGTTTGATCATATAATATGAGTTATGTCTGCAACAATCCCACAATAATAAATATATATAAAAAAATTTTGTATATCTAACGCCTATCATTTTAATAAAAATCTTATATTCACCATTAATTTTTACTATGAATCCTATATAATCTCTCAAAATATAAAAATATTATTATTTTTTACACCTTATTTAAAATTTTAAAATTTATAAATGTAGACCCCACCATATTTTTTAGTAGTAGATCCCACATATCACTTTTTTTAAACCACACAACTCTGATTTTTTAAAAATTAAGTTTTTTAAAATCTTACATTCACTCCATTACCCTTAAAGTCTTAATTCATATCAAGTTTAAAATATCTAAATACATAAAAAATTTATAGTTAAGCTTGACTATTGAGACATCTAGCTTTTGAGTTTTTTTAGGCTAGTTTAACTGTTTCAAATTATTAAAAATTATTTTATTTTATTTTTCTCTTTATTAAATCCATAAACTGTGTTTTTGAAATTTTTTTAGCCAATTTATATATTTATATTTAAGTTTTCTAAAAAATTACAAGATAAATACATTTAAATAATAAAAATTTAAATAATAAAAAAAATATTTTT